GATTGACATTGGGTCAAGCTTGCCTAACTGTTGATGCTGATTTCAGCATCAAGAGAATTCTATGCAGCTTCTGTGGTAGCTAGACTTCTATATGTTTTTTTTCTTACGTTCACCATCTTCCAAATACGGTGCCAGAAAACATAACAAAATCCAAAAACTGAGGTCTTAGAACCAGTGGCTACCAAGCAAAACGAAATTTCATCTCTGGATGTCATTAGAGAAAATCGTTCTTGAGAACTAGCTAGGAACTTTTGAAAATCATTTTCCTCTTGGAAAAGCAGCCACTCGAAATTTTACTTCATTTCTTTTTCTTTCTTTCTCTCTTACTCTCTTTATCTCTATTTCTTTCTTCTGTCTAGAAACGAGAAATTGTCTTTTTTGTTTCTTCATTCTTTTCAAAATTTTTTCTTCACATGATATAGATTGGAACCAAATCTGAATAAAATTTAAATTCATATGATATCTTTTGAAAACTTAGAATTTGAAATTTTTTCCACACCTGTACACGGACGGTGTACAAGTGGTGTGTACGAATCCTGTGTGCCCGTTGTGTAGATGTTCGTGAGTGTAAATGTAAAACGTTCAAATGTGCCGCCATAGCTCAGTTGGTTAGAGCGTGGGTCTAATAAGCCCAAGGTCGCAGGTTCGACCCCTGCTGGCGGCAAACTTTTTGAAATATCGTCACTGAAAATAATTTGATCTGATTTTGAAATTTAGTCTAAAGTAATAATTAGTCAGAGAAGTGAGGAGTTTGGTTTGAGTTATTCTCACAATTGAAATGCTAAAAGACGATTGTAAGTTTTTTCGGTGTGCCTTTCAAAGATGATTTGGAATATTTCAAAGAAAAATTATTTATAGGTGGTTGTATGACTAGCTTACAAGTATTATAGTTATCGATCAAATAATAAGTGTTTTCAATTACATTGCTGCAGAAAGCGTTTGACCGAGTCGGGTTTCGCATTATTATTTTCGAATAAAATTTGCAAAACTCTCAGAGCTACCTCCTCCTTGTATGGAGGAGCTGCAACCTGTACCCCTATGGGCATTCCGATAGAATTCTACAAAACTCTAACTATTATAAGGAATGTTCAAACTACGTTACCTCTGATTGTTGTTTGATCAATCTTTCTATTGGATCGCTTGCTCGATAGTTCTGTAGTTCTCTTTCATCTTCTTCAGTGACCGTTGTCACGGGAACAGTTCCTCAAAAAAAAAATTCTCTCTTCGAATCTATTTTTTCTTACCTGCAGCAAAATCTAATAAGTTGTAGAGAGCTGTGTAGTTGCAAGCTTGCATTATTTGAGGAGCTACATGATGTTTCGGGGGGTATACGGACTGAAAATATCAAAAACCATTGAAGATTCATGAAAAAAATGAGATTCACCATCACAGGGCTTATAATTACAGAGATATTTTCACTTTTCATTTTTTCGAGGAAATCTCGTCTATATACTTTTGTTTCTTCAGTTATTTTGCGCATATCTGTAAAATAGGAAGAGGAAAGCTAGAGCTTGCAATCAATTGAGAATGATACCTCCTGCTGTACGAGGAACTGATCTTAAAAGCTCAGATAACTTAGGGAATGGAACCAAATAAGATAAAACTTGTTTCAAGAATGGTGATAGCTTCCGAGCTACGAAACCAAAGTCACAATCAGGATCATATAGATCCTATAGAACATTGTTATGCATATTGTAGTTGAGCTAACGTACCTCATCAAGTTTGTTATTTAGAAAAACACCTCCGTCAGCAGAAATATTTGCTGCCACAAGAGGGAAAAACTTCTGAGATGCTGGAACATCAAAAGCAATACACTCATGCCCGAGAGATTCTAATATTTTCACACACATACGAACAGCTCTCTAAATTGTGACATGAAAACTTAAAAAGAGTAAACGAACCTCGTAAGCAGGTACAGCCTTTATATAATTATCAGTTACATAATAGCCTTCAACAGCTGGATTACGGTGGAAGATACAGTTTCCTCACCTATTCTTAGGGGTTCCTTAGAATATAAAAGATTTTTTTGGAAGCCAACTGGTGCTAAGTAATCGTCCGATGAATAAAGTGCCGGACAATCCCATATCTTGCAACGCTTGAACATTAAAGTTGAAAAGAAATACTTACAGCTTGGCAGAATTCAATACATGTATCAACATCACGTGCTATCGGACCAGCATTGGCAAGAACAAGAGTTCGTCCTGGTACTGTCCCCATATTTCTTGTTTGAGGCATGCGATAAGTGGAAGGCTTGAAAGATCAATTATTACTATAAAATGTTAGGTTAGTATCACTTTAAATCCAACAAGTCCGCAGAATGTGGCTGGTATTCTGATTGATCCTCCAATGTCTGTTCCTATTCCTAAAATACTTCCACCAGTTGCAATCAGAGCCGATTCGCCACCAGACGACCCTCCTGGCACCCGTGAAGAGTCTAAAGGGTGGGTAGTTTTTCCATATATAGGATTAGAACATCCAAAGGAACATAAAGATTGCGGAATGTTCGTGATGACAAAAGGTATCGCTCCTTAAACATATATTATTCCAAATCATATAGTATTTCAAACCTGCAGTTGCATGAAGTAACAAATCAGTTTCATTTGACGGTTTAAAAAGATCCTGAGCAAATCCACTCGTACAGTCATACCCATTCAGCTGTAAAAATCAACAGTATAAACAAAATGAAAAAAAATGAAAAACCTTGATGCATTCTTTAACACTTATAGGGATACCAAACAAGTAAGGAAGTTTTGAACTGCTGTTTTCACTTAAATTGTCGAAGTACTCAGCTTGTTCAATGGCTTCCTTAATAGAAGTGTCATGAAGTTTGAGTTGATATGGTAAAAATGAACACCTGGATGAAAAGGCAAACACAATTTGTGGATTCTTGAGATCTCAAAGCTTTTTGCTGGTAAGCTCGAAGAGCTTCAGAACAAGTGATTTTTCTTAACTGGAGTTCTTCTTGAAAAGCAGATATTAAGATTATAACTGATCAAGTTTGAAAAAAAACCTCTTAGCAATAAAAAACTCAGCGATGTTATGTAATTAGCTCTCTCTGTGGACAGGGTGAAGGCATATTGCCTTACCTTTTCGATCGAATCCTCTCTTTCCTTTAACCTCTTTTCCACTTTCGCTAATAATCGTCGATTCTTCAAGTTATTCTACAACCAGTGGAAGTATTAAAAAAGTGGTAGAAGCACTCAACTTTAATGGTTTTCGTGCAAACCTTGATGGATAAGAAGACAAGTAAAGGTAGAAGAGTGCTGAATGCAACTTTTCCAACGAAACTTGTTGATGACAAAACTACAGACATTCTAATAAGGTAGCCATATAAGTGAGAACAAAAAAAACGAAAAAATCAATAAAATAGATCATGAACAGTTGATATAAATATGTATTCGAATGTAAAAAAAAATAAAGAGATAAGAACACAAATAAGTACGAAAGGTCACAAAGTAAATGAAATAGAATAGATATAAATCCTTTTTAGGCTTCGTATTACAAAATCAACACGTCAACTTCTTATCATTTTTAATCAAAAGATCTAACCTTTTTGCTGCTCCACTCATCTCCTAGTTTCTCTCTCTACTTCTCTCATTCTTACTCTTGTTCTCTCCCTCTCTCTCTCTCTCTCTTGCTTCTTATAGTATTCAAATCTTACTTCTTATTGACTTCTGTATATAACTTAGCTGTTTCTTAAATTATCATATCCTTTCTCAAATATTTTTTTTCTTTCTACTCTTTGTTGTGAATGACAAGAAGCAGCAGAAGCATCAAGTGTTGAACTGTACGAGAATCTTGTAGTTTATGTGGAACACAACATCAAACATCTGATAAGGCTTAATCAAAACGGCAAAAAAATATTTTCCTTAAACTAATGGTTCTCTTATGCGTTCTTGTATAGATCATATTCAAATGGTTAGTTACTCTTATAATTAATTTTCGAAAATGATTGATATTTGGAGGTTCGCTTACCATCTATGGTTCCTCAGCAGTTTTATAATTTACTTCATAATAATGATAATGGAAGAGTTGTAGCAATATGTTTATTAACATCAGTATTCACAGTGATGCCTGTTGGGTAGATCAAAGATGGTCTAAACCATGCTAATCACAATATGTTATAGTTATCATATGGTAGTTCTTAATGTCCCTGAAAAAGTTATACAAAACTCAATAAGTGATAGTCTATCATCAACATTCGGTATAAGCATAGATAAAGGTGCAATGAGTATATTATGGTAACTATATTATATGATTCATATAGCTAATATATTACTTTTAGGTCTGTTATTGTATCGTGTCAAGCTTTAGGTGCTTTAATTGGTTGTTCAGTGGTATCTCCTATATTATCAAAATATGGAACGAAATCAGGTGCTTTCATGTTGTTCTATGCTAATTTCTCTTGTGATCCCGTGACTCATACTCATCCCACGTAACCTCTAATTAATTGAATTGCCACGTATATAGACGAAATGGTTGCTCGCTGCTGATATAATTAGCTTTTTTTCATCCAACTTATATTATATTTTAAGGAATGATGACTTTCAATAATTTTCTACTTGTAATTGGATCAGTTGCCATGACTTCTTCAGCGCTTTTCAATTTTTCAATTTTTCTGATTATTGGTCGATTTTTGATTGGAATTTATACAGGAATAGCATGTGCCTTGCTACCTCTGTATGTACAACAAATAGCGCCAAAAGAGATTAAAGTAATCAATTTGGAAAAAGAACATTTTGAACGTGTTGAACTTGTTTCAGGGATCACTCAGCTGTTTCTTGCATATCGCTGTCTGTTTTGGGTCAGCTATTGGAGCCATTTTTTCATTAGATTTCATGCTTGGTTCACAAGCTAATTGGGGCTATTTACTTGGGTTGCCAGGCTTACTAGGTGCTCATATTGGCTTTCAGAATGCAAAAATATAAATTAAAATGTTAAAGGAATTGCACAGATAATCGCTGCATTTTTTATACCGGATACCCCTAATCATTTACTTCAACATGGAAGTTATTCAAGAGCTATCTCTTCAATCAAGTAAATTACAAATAGAATATCTAAATGATGTTGTCATCGTTCAGCTTCTATTATGATATTGAAGGAGTTGATGAAGATGATGCCATCAAATCATACTGGGATATGGTGCCTGAGGTAATCTTTGAAACTTTATTTCATTATATTTCATCTCTTTGGAGGTTCCTCAACAAATCACATTAATAGAAGGGCTACGTAATAAAACTATACGTAAGGGAATGCTACTGGGAATGGCTGTAAGTGCAACTCAGATATTCTCTGGAAGCATGGCTACTGTATCTTATTCGAGCAGGTTTCATGAAAAGCTTGGGAAGTTGTATTACAGTAGCAATTTATAGCATGTTCACTGCAGTCTCATTCATAGATGTATTGGTTCCTTTTCTTCCAGCGTTAGGGAGTATAATATCCATCATTATGACTGTCCCAGCTTTAGAATTAGTAAGATTTGTTTTTTCCGATTTTTGCAGTTGCAGTTGCCGGTTGCAAAACTGAATGGTTTCAGGTTGAGACATCTGGACGACGCCCGCTGCTGCTGTCGACGTTAATTATTTGTATCATATCTGATTGCTTTTTACTTATATTTTCACTTCTATCAGTTGACCCAGGTGAGACATAAGTTTGGAAGTAAAACAAATCCTATATTCAGCTGAAACATGGGCTTCCTGGGCGTTCGCTGTCAGTTTTTTCCTTTACGGTATAGGATATAACTTGGGCACTGGACCTGTTTCCTATTTCATTGCTGCTGAGCTTGTACCAGCAGAAGCAGCTAGTCTTTCATTAGGTATACAGAACAGTCATCAAGCTAATGTGATATGAAAACTTTAAAGGAGTTGCTGTTGCTACAAATTGGCTGTGCTCATTAGTTACGACATTCTCTTATTATCCCTTAATGACTTTGATAGGAGGCTGGAGTTATTTGCTTTTTATAATTCCAACGTAAGAGAGTTTTAGCGTGTGTTGTAATTGAGTTACGATTATTCAGATCAATGTTATTGGTAATCTTATGGATATGGTTACCAGAAACCAGATTTTACTATAAAGAAGACTCAATCGAAGCAAAGCTTCTACAAGATCTCGGCCAGCCTTATGGAACCTTTGCAGTTTATTAGAAATTAACAAATGTTGCTTGTTGTGTAAATAAAGAGGAGTGATCAACGTTTTTGTGATGCAGTTTAACCATTTAATAATATCATTTTTATCAAATAAGCACCCTTGTGTAGGAATAATTGTGCAAATCTAAGATTTGATCATGGAAACCAATTTCGTGGGCAATTTATTGTCGCGTCACCAAGTGAGCTCCGCCTTCAGAAGGATATCGCAGAATTCATATATTCAGAATATTTGTCACAGCGAACGATGGCTTTCTTCAATCCTAAGTCAGCACCGGTACCAATAGGTATTACTTAATGCTTTCATTCTTTTGTCTTCTTCGTTTTCCTTAAATGTATCTGTTTTAGCTCCTCCACCAAATGGCGAACTGTCTTATGGATCAGCAGGTGACTCAGATCCTGGTGGTTATCCGATGGGATTTCTTCTTGAAAATACTATGGATGTACTCACGTTTTTAACAAACTTATTCGTTCTCGTTGTCTTGTACGTGGAAAAGAAGGAATACAGAGTAAATTTGAATTTTTGAACTGAGTTTAAAGTAATATTTTTCCATTGAAGTGTTCATTCTATTTGATTATGACGATATACATGGGTCTGACATTGCTCGTTTCGTTTTCCAGTCTCGCTTATTGTTTGGCTTCAAGTTTTTCTGTCTCTATCAGAAAGTCAGAAGAAATAGCCAAAGCTTCATGTGTAATTTCATTTTACTAGTTTGAAAGCACATAATTCTTTTTTTTTTAAAGATAATCGATTACTTCACTTCATTCTATGCTGTCGCTCTTATATTCCTAATGGCATGTGAGAGATGTTTCATTCTTGTTTATCCTCACCTCTTCGCAATGGTATTCAGAGGGTATACTTTACTTCCATACTTTCGACATTAATTGTTATGAATTTAGGAAAGTTTTAGTGGCAACTTTGTGTGGTTCGGGAATAATCACTCTCGTTCTCACTTTCCTTGTTTCTGATGCTTCCGAAACGTCAAGAATGTATGATCCAGTCACAGGAATGGTATATGACTATGCTAAAGATCCAGATTTCGTAGCGGTAATTTAACTTTATCTCATTCAAAGTATATTTCTTATTAATAGACAATCAATAATGTGTTTTACATCATTCCACTACTGACAACAGTCTTCTTTGCACGAATTTATTATTATTTACAACAAATAAAGAAAGATGCTATACTTGGTAAGACCAAGAACATGGTCGATAAAGCCGAAGTTTCGAATTGCCGTCAAGCGTTATGTGTCGTTGGAACTTACTCGGTAATTGAATTTTTATTTCTTTTATAATGAAATATCACAGATTTGTCTTATACTCCATTTCGTGCTTGATTACGTTGAACCAGGACAGCTGGAGCAATTCTTAACAATGGCAGAAAGGCTTGTGGCTTCCTTACCTCAAGTCTTCTTACCTTTATCGCTCATCCTATGCAGTTCAAAGGTTAGCTTTTTTGAAATTTACTATTTCAAATAAAAAATAAATTCAGATTCGACGTTCAATCAAGATATGCATGTGTTGCCATAAAGAGCCAACTCGAGTTGGATCCGCTACCAGCACTTCAAATTCACGAAAATTCTTAGCCAGTTTCCGGCTTTCTTTACCCAATCTCTCGACCAAAACGTGATTGAAACTTTATATTTCTGTATATTCCTATTGTTCTTTTCGTTTTACCACAATATTCGTTTGAAATTGAAATAGTCAATCTGTTATTAATATTTTTCTCAAAACATGTAATTCATTTTACGTTCTATAATATATAATTAATCCATCTTTTCAAACTTCGTCTGTATTTTCTACCTCCTACACAAGATCTGTTTTCCTTTGATTCCTTAATACTACGCTCATCTTTCTCTAATCTCTCCTAATATATACATATATATGAAATGAACTTAATGTTTCGACTTCGCTTCTTAAGTATTTAAAAGATTATCTCCTGCCTACCATCATCATCCCCACTCTATTTTAATTAAATATTTTCATTTTCATTAATAAATTATTTCATTTCATTCTCATTTACACAAACGCTCTAACGAAGCTCTCAAATGATAGAAGACGTTTTAAATCAAATTCTACCTGTCGTTGGCTTTTCTTCACTCGTATCGTCCATTTTCATTGCCTTGGTACTATTCAAAGGCAAAACAACCTTCAGATTTCTACTATTTCTAGCCATATTAGGTTAACATCCTTTTCGTTCGTCTTCTCAAACAACTTTTTTCATTTTAGATATTTTACAAGGAGCATCTACCATATATGCGGGGTTGTATGGAGTTTTCATCAGCATTTATGGCGAGAAAGGCGAAAAGGTATGTAGGCTGACATAATAGAAGTTAGTAATTGAGTTATTTTCCAGACAATTAGGCCATTCAAATGCTTTCTAACTGCTTTTCATAATATAATATGGGCTTTCACTGATGTGTCATCTATCCTTCTACTTCTTCTCTTCTCAATTGACCGTGTTCTACAGATGATCATCCCAGTACAATACAAAAAGGTTTTTAAACCAAAAATATAATAAAACAACCGCTCATTACGTCATGAGTTATTAAATGAAATCATTTGTTAATAATTCGAGAAAAAAACGCATAACTGACGTATTCTTATTGAGTTAAATTCTCGGTAACATGACGACAGCTAGTTGAATATTCCAAATTTAGGTATCTGACATATACTTGTCATGGAGAGGCTTCATCGTTTACCTGTTTATATCTGCAACAGCTTCTATTCCAGCTTTCCAGTTTGCAATGACGGTAATATAAGTTTGATAGAAGAAATGTATATTTGTGCTAATCAGACATCAAGCAATTCCTCAATGGTTATCAACACCGCGTGTCGACATAATGAAGTGGTTGGAGAAGAATATTATAATCAACACATCCTTTCATATCAAATTTTTCCATTTATCGGTATAACTAGAGATGAAAATCTTCATTGAGATGTAAACTTTAGCTTTAATTATATTAATTATATCTTTACTTCTAAAAGGAATACGTGAAACAAGCCCTAAATGGAGTTATAACTGGTCAGAAGACCGTGTTGACTCTAAACAGGTACAACTATAACTTATTCTATATCTATAAACTATTTCAGTTGTTTACCGCTTGTTTTCTGAGAAGTGTGCTGACCTGCTGCTCGATTTACTTGCCCGCTACAGTACTACCTGAACGATTTGTATCTCCATCTGGTGGTCTCATCGACTACTCTTTGAGGTAAATAGTTCAAACAACAAAACTGAAAGATTTGAGTCTTTCAGAACTTTTTATTGTATTTTCGTTCCAACTTTACAACCTCTGATTTATACCTTCTTCGTGCCTGTTTTCAATACACGAGTGCAGCTGGTATTCAATCGCTATAGTCACAGTACTAAAAGAGAATGGCTAAGTGCATGTAGTTGGTGGTTTGTGAACTTCTGTCATGTCATCTTTTAAGCTGATCCACCCCCAGCTCCAGGAGAAGTAAAAGATAAATACGGTGAGGTAAATCCGTTTGGATCATGGTATTCGTCGACTGGAAATGTAGTTGGTAAGCTCATAAATTCCAGAATCAGCTTTGTTATAAACAAAAATATTAAAGGAGAAGCTGGTCTGCCAATGGAAATGAAATCAAATATTGAGAGAAGTATATCATTTTATTATGAAAAGGAAGATCGTGAAGCAATGGAAAAACAGAATAGAACACAAAGGCCAATATCATGTGTTACAAATCCAGCTTTAACTCTTGATTTCTGATAATTAAATCAGTTCTTGCAGAAACTTTCTTACATCCAGTACTAGCATAAATATGTTTGAAATACTAAATAAATAAATATTAATAATGATTATTAGGAAATATACCTGTAGAGAGTCAGCTATTTCATCAATCATTTGACTGTTGTTTACCAAATGTTTTTTATTTATCGTTTCCAAATAATATTTAATACATTCCATAATATGTTGTCGTTCTAATGGTAAAAATGGAACAAATATATCAATTAAACCATTTTGAATAATTAATGAACGATAGAATCCTCCTAAACATCATTACAATAAGTATAGGATGATGTAACTCATATATACCTTGAGCATTGAATATGGCATTCGTTATTGACTTCTCAAACTCAATCAATTGCAAACTTTCACGAGAATTTTCTTTTTTCTTTGTATGACTAATAACTAAATCATTTATCACCGTACCAGCTTCTTTTCTGAATTTCTATATTCGGACAAGGAAGAATGAAAATCGTTTTTACCCAATGAATATGAATGTTGTTCCTCGATAGTCAATACTATCCTTGCTTTCCTGGTAATCTAGATAAGGGAAGAGCGAATCTTCAATTTGTTGTTAACAAATTGCTATTATCAGTACATACCTATCAGCTTACTATCCAATAAGTCTAATTCATCAAAAATGAAAATTGATTTTGCACATTTTGAGGTTGTTTTTTCAATTGTTGAAGTTATTAAACTCTGAAAAACAAAATTATCTGTCATCATCTTAAGGTTTCCAACTATTTGTTCTTCTAAGCTCTTTCGAGATAAAGTGGCTGCGTGGAAATACTGAACATTGTTCATTTCGCTAAAAACAATAACTTATAAATTGGAAGTTTTCATATCCTCTCACGTATTGAAAACCTTCATAATCGTCATTGCCGTGTATGTCTTTCCAACTCCAGATGATCCGTAAAGGGACAAAACCAAACTTTTTCTTGGCTGCCTATTCTCCATGTGTGACTGAACAAATTTGAAATTGTATCTTTGATTAAAAGATCACAAAAACCTGAATGAGGGTGGGAATCGTGGAAACGGCAATGTGTTGCCCGAATAGAGCACTTGAGAATATTTCATTCAAATCTTAATCATAATTCGATTGTAACTTATGAAATTGCTATAAACTTTCTATTTTCCTCTCAATGTTCTCATTGCAATCAGGCCTTCGTTCGGATATTACTTCATTCTTCTGAAAGTAGAGCAAATTAAAGAAAATTGTAACAAATATCAGCTGAACACAACCGCTCACACGTCATTTTCTTCAAAAAATGACATATCACAACTCACGTGATCATTCATATGAATCATTTATGCAAATTTCCCTCATTCTCCGATTATTATGTGTTTTTTTACCTTTTGCTTGTTCTCTTTATTATTTTGATTATTTATAACATTTTGTTGAGGGACATTAACGGTCTTTGAGCAACTGTGAACTTAAACGAATAATTTCTAAATGTTAAGAACCTCCTATAATAATACCTGAGTAAACATTAATAGATAATAAAATAGTTAATACAGATAACGTAAAGCTTAATGATATAGGTGAAGAACGTGTCATTCCATCTAATTTGTCCTGATTTATCGATTGTTCTTTTTCTGAAGGATTCTGCAACGTCACCTTCACCCCCATTTTCAAGGACATAGACTGCCATCTCGTTTATGTTTTTTTTTTGTTCTCGACTAAATATTTGAATAAAATATTGAAAAACTGTTTCAAAAATTGAAGTAAATGCTGAGCAATTAATTGGAAATTTAGAATTTTTTGAATTTTTCATAGAATATTTGATGAGAGCAGTGCATTAGTTCAATTCTTATTTTTATTTCTTTTTATTAATACTTTATTGTGTTCTCTTAGTTATTTTTAACTAATTAAGGAGCTGCAGTTGTAATAGATATGAGGATTTCACGATTGTTTTCAATTATTTTCTTATTCGGTCTTCATTTGATTTCATTCTGCGAGTTTGTTGATCCAAATGAACCATACTCCCAACTAGATGATGGGATTGAAGATAACGTGAGTTTGTTGATGTTTTGGTATTACACACCACTTTCATATCTTTTTTTTTGTTATAGAATATCATAGATGATTCATTAGAGAAACTTCGAGACACGGCACTCGAAGTAAATGAAATTATCATTGATGCTGGTAACGATGAAGATGATGATATTTGGATTTTATTGAAATCTTTACAATCTCTTCTAACAAAAGCCGCTCTTGTAATTTCAATGATGAAAGCTCTTCAACGATGTTGTACAGGCTTGTGGGATTTAATATTTCGACGTAATCAGCGTGGTGCTACACGTCATGAAATGAGTGAATCAGAAGATGACTTGATTCCCTCACGTAAGGTTTCCAAAGGTTCGCTATTCTCATTTTAGCAACGACAGGCTTCCCTTTTATGACGCCTTACTCGAAAAGAGTAGTTATTTTGAAAGTAATATTGGAGAGTGCGAACAAAGAGAAAATCAGTCTTTCATTCGAGCTTTCATTATTCGAAGCTAACATAACTGTTGGAGTCGATATGAAATAGAATGCTTTTGGGCCATGTGGTAAAAGCAAATAAACTTTTTTTTTGATCGAGTTCTCCTCTCCATTACGAATTTATATTATATTCTATCTATTTATATACACGATGAAATAATTATTTTAGATTCGGATAGCAAACAACTTCGAAGAAGACTGAAGCTTCCTCTAAAACTTGGTACGACACTAACATTCCATGATGGCCTTTTTGTTTGAAAAGCTACATCAATTATTCTAATAACTGTTTCAGCCAAAGAAATTGTTTCATCTGAATTGGAAGAGGCCGGCATAACCACCAATACTGGGTATTGATTTTTTTATTTTTCTCAATTAAAATAAATGTCAACAAAATGAGCATACTGAAGCAATACATTTGTGGTTCGTCGTCACTGATGACCGGATGACAGACGGCACAAAAAGAGAAAGACGATGATGACGAGGAACAGGAAGAACCGAGATCGGAGCCAATGGACTCATCTCTTCCCTCGTTCTCTCTCACATCTCGTTTCTCTTATTTTGTGTCACATCATATTTTTCTATAACAGTCATCTTTTCTATCTCTCTCTCTGCTCTCTTACCACTTTCCTCTGAATGATCCACCATTAGCTCTTCTCCCGACCTACCAGATCTCCTAGCTTCTCCTCTTCTTCACCTCGTTTTTCATCGTTATCTCCCATCGCTTCCATTGAACTTATTTCATACTTCTTATAAAATTCTTCTTCTTGATACAAAATAGAGAGCATCATATGTATCTCATACTAATTTTTTCATGATTCATTCGAAGATCATTTCCAGGTTACCACAAGTGGGGACAAAGGATGAATGATCAGCAGCGCTCTCATGAGATTAGGATTATCTACGTAAAGATGACATAAAAAAGAAAATATATATAAAAGAAAAGCCATATTAGGTCTATGATTTCGGGTGTAATCAGCTAATTCTATCCTCGTCAATGAGGTTTCGTGTGTCTTATGTGATAACAGGATGTCTGATATTTTCAGATGTTGTTTATAAAGTATCCAAGATCAATCAAACTCGTTCAAACTCAAAGATAACTGATGATCAGTCAATATTAAACGGCAAAACGAATTTATTTTTATGAAAACAAGTCTTTCGAATTGGTACATGTATGATCTTATTTTTGGATGTCCCGATGCTTATCTATAATCTCTCCTGTTTTGTTTGAAACATTGCCATATTAGGCACATAGTACTAGGACAGTTTTCGAGTGAGAAATGTATAAAACAGTAACTTCTCGTTCAATGTTTATAAGTATACGAGAAGAGCAGATCGTCTATAGCAGCTGTACAATATAATCCGATTATATGACTCTCTTCTCATCTAACCTTTGACCACAAAAATTTGACCCAATCTAATGCTGTTTTTCAATATTTTTTTCTCTTTTTCGTCACAAAAGACTCTTTCACCTGTCTTAACTTACTCTTCTGCCAAATTTTCACTTGAGTTGTCATGTTTTCCCCTTGAGAATTGGCCTTGAAAGAATTGCAGAAGAAAAACTATGATGCAGTCTCTTTTCTTTTTCTCACAAGGCTCTCTTTCATAGCTTGAATTTTTATATTTTCCGCTCTTTTTCAAAAGCTGTTCATTTCCCTCTAAATGGAAAGCTTTTCCTTACGTCTCCTTCCTTCTATGCAGCCTCTCCTACCCCGCGACCCTTCTTTTTTGCTTCAAAGCAGATCTCATGCTTTTCCTGTCACTGAACAACATTCCACAAACTTACGTTCATTCCCCTTCTCATTCTTTTTCCAAACTTTCAATAGATACAAAACGTTTTTGTATTTTCTCATGAATGTCGATTGCATCATTTCTTCGATCATTCCGTGAAACTCATAACATTTTGGTCTTCGCTTCTTTGTTTTTCTTTTTAACAAAGGTTTAGTGAGCAATCGCTTCACTCCATTTCTATCAATGTGTCCTTTGCTTTCGCCCTCACAATAAAAGTTTGTTGACAAACAAAGCTCTCTACCATTTTCTATTTATTAGTTATAATCAATTTCCATTTTTGCGATTACATGACACACTCGTTTCCTTTTCGCCCTTCTTATGAGAACATATAGTATTCGAACGATTAGCTCTTTCGTTCCGGCTTGGCAGCAGCTGGATCCAACCCTCCCTAATTACTTTGCCAATTCGATCTATCCTCTTCTTTAAGTACTCTCTTTCTCTCAACGCCCTCCATCTCTGCCTCTGACATCTTCCATGTTGACTTCAAGCGTTTGAACTTTTAAAAGCTGAGCAAATTAATGTTTCATTCTCGTTCTCTTTCTTTTCAACATACCTTTATTCCATCTTCTTGTTCAACTTTCACTGCCATGGGCAACTTAAAACCACACACGTCTTTACGACTCTATTTTTCTTCAGATTACCGTAATCTTAAATGTTTTGCTTCCTCAGATTTCGATTTTCTTAGAAGTTCGCTTAATTGTCTTAACATGTATTTGCAATTGTTTCGTGAAGTATTGTGCTCGTGAATGTTCTCAATTCGTCGTTTCAGCTTTATATGACATTTTCTCTTTGCTTTATTCACATTTTATCGGATTCCAACGAATTTAACTTAATTTTTTTTCAGTTGATCGGATTATCGGTCAATTTTCGCTCTTCAATCATTATTTTCTTAGAACATCGTCCGGGGCTTTGCCCCAAATTCTGACATGTTTCACAGAAGAGCTCATAGAATTGTAAATGTTTTAATAAGTTTATGTCTCGTGAGTTTCAATTTTCAAAAACCCCTCTTCAACGTCTTTTTCAGTTTGGTTTTTTTGTAATTTTTCTCAAGACTCCTCCACAACCTAAACAGGACCTCATATTCCCGGCTATAGATGAAAAACAATGGAAAGAACTAGGAGAGATGAACTCCACTGTAGATACTACCTATGAAGATTTCCAGCAGTGGCGTTTTAAATGTAATTTTCCTTTCATATTCTCATGTATACATACTACCTTTTAGTATCTGCTAACAATACCATATTTGGACGTGAAGTAGTTGAATCAGTTATGTTTTTGAATGAGAACTTCGATATTTTAAATATCGATCGATTTGGTCCTGTTGAAGATGTTAAAACTGTAATTGTCATCCAGGTTTGCAGATTAAGACGAGTATAAACTGGAATATACATTTCAGGTGCATAATAGAGTAGCCTATCTACGGTATTTGATTGAATCTTTAAAAAAAACAAAAGGGATCGAGGATACTCTGTTGGTCTTCAGTCATGATATCAATGTTGAAGCTATCAATCAAATGATTCATAATATAACTTTTGCTCGAGTAAGTCTTAGCTTCTTCTTCTTCACTAAATCTTGTTATTAGGTTTACCAAATCTTTTATCCTCTCAACATGCAACTGTTCCCTCATGTTTTTCCTGGACAAGAGCCTTATGATTGTCCGGAGAAAATAGGCAAAGCTAGGTAAGCTGTTTCTCGGGTCTTCTTGATGAATTGTATTTCAAGAGCTCAACTGCTTGGATGCCAGAACAAAGATTTTCCTGACAAATACGGAAACTATCGTGTTGCTCAGCTTACTCAAATTAAGCATCATTGGTGGTGGAAGGTTAGTCAACATTCTCCGCATATATTATTCTTTTTTTTCTAGATGAATTTTGTGTTTGATGGAATAATTGATAGATTTGGTCTTCACGACTCGTGGGTGCTGCTACTTGAAGAGGATCATCTAGTCGTACCGGACGCTTTGTATGTGCTGAATTATATAACCGAACACAAGAACGAGTAAGAGCACCTCATATCAACTTCAGTTATCTATTCACGACAGGCTTTGTAACAATTGTGATCTGATATCTTTGGGAGCTTACCTCAAGTCCACCAGGAAATATAGAGAAACTATCAACTTGTTAGGATCTCATCCCTGGTTCAGTAGCAAGCATAATATGGGCATGGCGTTGCAACGTACACAGTGGCTGAAAATTAAAGGATGTGCGGAGGTATTGTTTACTTTTTCTTTATCCAGTATGTTTGCGCTTATCAGATGTTCTGCACTTGGGATGATTATAATTGGGATTGGTCTGTTATGCAAGTCACAGCAAAATGCCTTCCGCAAAGATTCCGAGTGATATTCGCTAAAAGTCCGAGAGTTCTGCACATTGGCGATTGCGGTGTTCATACACATAGGTTTTTGAATCATTCCAATTCTTGAAGTTTTATTTTCTCTTCAGATGCACGGCTTCTAACGCTTACACACAAGCAACTCAATTAGTAGAAGAACATCATGGAGATCTATTTCCATCTTCATTGAAAGTCACTGATGTAAGTTAAGCATGTACTTCAGTGAATTAAACGGTGAATTTCAGATTTCGAGAAGATCGTTAAAGCCATCGAAAGAAAATGGAGGGTGGGGAGATAAAAGAGATCATGAGCTATGTCGGTTGAATACTCATCCACTAGCATGGAACACAAAAGACGCTAATATGAGCATAATCAACAAACTCTTACAAAATACAATTCATGTTCCCAGTCCTATCAGATAGACGACACTTTTTTTTAGAAAATATCAATTTTATTCAAATCCATCACGGGTATTCAGTGGACTGCATGATTTCCAAGCAAAACTTTTTGATTTCAACCTCGCAGTTCTTCGGGTTATTCCCTCTAACTATTTGCTTTCGTACTTTTTATGTCCACTAAAGGTGTGATGCTCATAATATACTGTTCTTACGGGTTTTACAATACTTATAATAAAAATTCTTCTCTGTGATACACGCGTTGATTCCTTGATGCATTGTTTCATATGCATAGCAAATTAGAAATTCAAACATAACAACGATCAGTAGTACTTTATCACCTTATGGAAAAAGGATTACCAAACTATTTCTCCTCATAAGTTCAATCAAAACATGCATCGTACGCTTCAGTATACTAGTTGCTGTATTAGTCAAAAACTGTTTCTAAAAGTAGTCTAGAAGAAAAGGTAGCCTTAGCTATTCTTCTTCACATGACACTTCAGAACATGAGCGTTCCCACTGGCATACAGTTCAGCCTATAGCATACTATAAAATACCGTTGGTACTGTTTCTATTGAGATCAAAACGTTATGATCTTCTAAGGTCATTTTCATATCCCAAAGGCGTCAAAAGAAGGCGGGCTTCAAAAACACCCGTAGTTTGAGGGGACCATAAATAGTTGAGGAGCTCGGCTAACTTCATCAGTTCTCCTGTGCTCGCCTCTCGTTGCTCGGTTAACAATCATGACTTCGACTTGGAAGACAATCTTCCAGCTATTCATATTACGGAATTGAACGGTCCCCTGGTGGAGCCCTCGTCGCGATCCATGCGAGTTCACGTGACTAGAGCTACCACAGGGAGACTGTTTAGTTCCGAGCAACTACTATCACGTATTTTTCCCATAATAGATCCGTAACAGGCTTCATGACTGTGCAATGTTCAAGAAACCATTGCACAAGGTCTAGTTGCCTGTCATGTGTCTATTATAATGTCATTTTTAAGAAGAACTGCAGCCTGAGATTAAGCTTAGTTTGGATACCCGTATATTTCGGTGGTTCTAATCATGTTCAGAACTACGAAATAACCGGGTTTCCAACAAACGTCGAACATCAGCACTCGTTGGCAAAATGCTTTTATATATCTTAAGTTACTCAAAAAGTACCAAAGAGGTCAATGTCCATACTACAGTTGGATGACAAACTGCCGTGATCCATATTTGGTTCAAGGGCAATGTTCGCGATGGCTCACAGTTCAGTTGTGTTTGCAGTTAGCACTGCATCTCTGCCTTGTATTTTTGATGAAACGAGTGATATTAGTTGTTCTTTTGTCATACATTGTGTACATTGAATTAGTTAGTTATAAATATATTTTATTGTTATTGTTGGTCTTTAGATGTCTCACAACTTTGAAAATGCTATCGGAGGCTCATTCAAGCTTAATAGTGGTTTCCATATTCCATTAGTTGGATTGGGTACCTATAAGATCACAGGCAAAGATGTTTGTAATTTTTTTCCCACATTTTTGAAACCTTGCCTTCAGGTAACACCATGTGTTGATGCTGCCTTGTCAGCTGGGTATCGCATGTTTGATACTGCCAAGTACTATGTTAACGAACCAGAACTTGGAACCGCTTTGAAGGTTGGGTTTGTTCAGCCGTAATCTTATTTCGATACTTTTTAGGAGCTTCTGCCAAAGTATAACCTGACACGTTCTGATGTTTTCATTACCACAAAGTTTTTCCCACCTCCAGTGGACACTGTTGCAACAACTCGTAGCCTCGTAGAAGAATCTTTGAAAAATCTCCAAACTGAGTGAGTGGAATGAAAATTGTTCTCTGAATACAAACAATCTGTTAAGTTACATTGATATGTACCTTATCCATTATCCGAAATCCGACAAATGTGAGAACGATGATCCTAGTAATGCTCTCCACCGTAAAGAAACTTACGTTACTCTAGAAGCCCTAAAAGGTAGCCACTGCTCTATTCACCTCAACTGATTGTTATTATTTAGACGAAGGAAAAATACGATCCGTTGGGGTGTCTAATTACGAAATCCGACATTTAGAAGAAATTAAGTCATTTGGAAAGGTATTTATCAAGCATATATTTTTCACATAGAATCATGTGTTACAGAATTCACCTTGTGCTAATCAAGTTGAGTATCATCCTCATTTTACCCGAGATGAACTTCAGCAGTACTGCCAGAAAGAAGGAATATTCTTCCAGGCGTTCTCTTCTCTTGCTAGACATGAACCTAATCTGATAGAAGATCCATCTGTTGTTCTTCTGTCTGAGAAGTACAAGACTACTGTACCTGTAGGGGCAAAACTCTGTGTTATCTTATCTATAAATGTTTAGTTGATCCTGTTGGCTTGGGCCAGATCTCAAAGTGTTGGAATAGTTCCAAAGTCAGCTACACCATCCAGAATAATTGATAACTTTAAAGTGGTTCTATTTTCTCTTTTCAAATATAGTATAATGTTATAGGTAGCCGATATAACTCTATCCCCAGAAGATATTGAAACTTTGCGGAAGCTCAACAAAAATCAGCATTACATTCGTTGTACCGGATGGCTAGCTCTCTGAATTCAGTTCCTTTACCTTTTGCGTTAAACATGCGAGAATACAATGTCTTATAAAACACTTCAGAACCCCATTACCTTTTCTGTTATCTAAAGAACCAAATGAAGCATCGGTAATATCTTCACTTGTAAAATATTTGGTGATTGAGCTGCTGCTATAATTCATTCCTTTCAAAGTTATGGAATGGTTGTCTTATATTTTCATTTTTGTTTAATGCTCCTCCGGTTGAGTGGTCGTGCTTAAATGATTCTCCAATGAAGCGCATGGATTTTCTTAAGCGTTATCAAAGACACGGTCGTGCTCATCTCTCTCAACATCTCAGAAAGTATGGCTTGTTCTTTACGTTTGTTCTGATGAATTTTCAAGTGAATCCATCACTAATACATGTTTTGCAATTCGAAGCAAAACTCATAAAACTCGGCTAATGTTTCTTCTCACATTCCATATGGGAGATTCCTATATCGTTTGTTCAACGATTAGTAAGCGAGCTGCTCTGTTACGAGCTAAGCAGGATGCTTAAGCTTATACTTTCTTGTATTTATTTTTCGATTATTGTAATGACGGATGGTATTTCATTTGATCTGAAGGTATTCAGAAAACCGCTCTTCATTGTTTATACCTGTGCTTCTGTAGGCTAGCGTGCTAAGAAAAATAGCATTGCCATACTCATGCAATACTTCTTATATAATGGAAGTGGGACCATTTCAAAACGTGTCCTTTACGTCATGTATAAGCAATGTATCAGGGGAAATTCTACTAACTGAGTCGTCAGATGAATCTTTTGTTTTCTTCTCATCAGATATGATCAACGAGATAGAGCGAAAGCATGGTTGTGCCACCGAGAAGTTTACATGATGCTTTGTTTCCTTCACTCTTTAATTGTAGCTTTCTCGATCTTGAAGTTATATCAAGTCATGAAAGAACTGGTAATATTACATTCATGCCTACTAATATAACCGATGTGAGGAACAACACTGAGAAGAGTCTGAACATACCATCAGAACGATTATTTCAAGTCAAAGGTTCCATAAGAGTTTGAAGTTATAGTAATTAACAATCAGTTTGGGTGCTAACTATACCACGTTGAACTATGCTCTCTCAACTGTTGATGGCGGTTTATCGGTTGAAGTGTACCCAAGTAACTATTCACAATCTGAGGTTTATAGATAATCTTGTCAATGCAATCTAAACGTTAAGATATTCGTCTCTTTTTGTCCTGAGAAAGATGGAGCTAGTCTGGGCACTGTCAAGTACCCTTCTCGGCTAGTTAAGCATTTCACAACGTTGGAGTTGGTGGATCTCATAGATGCATATTCTTGCGCTGGAGCGTTATATCATGATTTACAAAACTCTCCACCTATTATGATCCTGAAGTTAAAATAGTAAAAAGGAGTATAGTGACACTGGACAATGTTCAGGGTTCATTCTCTGGAATCGCAAGGTTTGGTAAAAGTGGATCAGAGCGCTGTTTTGGGCCCCATTTTGAAGTCTCAGATCATTCTCAATGCTAGTAATCCTTTCATAATACCTCAGAATTCATATTATGTGGATGTGACATTCCAAGTTTTGTAAGTTGGAGATTTGATGAATGAAATTTGTAAAGCGTTATAGGTATGGTATTGTGTCAGTAGATATATTGACTTGTTCTGAAGATGAGTTCGTAACAATCGGAGATTATCGTGAAGGAGTACATACCATCAAGAAGTATCAAAACCCTGATGACTATGTCAGTCTTTTTTTTAAATAGTTAATTCGATTTCAAAATTACAGACTAATTGCACGGAGAACATTGATCTCTTCCCAGCTGTCGTGTTCTCATCAAATATCACAAGTTGTATAACATTCCATATTGATCACATTTCGGAAAGCTCATCAGTTTCATCAAATTTCCAAACAATCCTGAGAATAACGGAAATTACAATAGTTGTGATAGCCTTTTTCATTACAATTCTGTACTTTATCAACAAATGTGCGGGAGAGAAACCTGAGATGAAATCAAAAACAAAACGACAAGGAATTCCATCTACCATTACATGGATTGAACCGACCATACATTGAAAGCAAAAGTAAGATCTTTGATTACAGAGTTTCTGGAGTTGTTTTTTCTTAAGTTTTTTGTGACTTTTTTAACTTTATTTTCCATATAAATTGTGTATTTACTGTTGAGTTGAAAGGAAATTTTGTGATTTTTGAGTGTTTTTTCACAAAATACAGCAGAAGTACTGCGAGCATTTCCAATCTTCCATTCATTAACTAGTTTTCCTTCCGAGGAAGAAACAATCTTCCGTATAAATATGAGAAATTTTGAATTTCCTGTAAAAATCGGTTTTGTTTTATCATGACAACGATGTTCTTACTCTTACTCTTCATACTTCCTTCTGTCTTTACAATGGCAGCACACAAAGGATATCTAAACAAGTTCACCACTAAATACGATCCAGAGGTGTTAATAGAAGGAACAAGGACGTAAGTTTCACCTAATGAAACGAAAAAAATGAATTCACTTTTCAAGAATTCATAAGTATCCTACTCATCGAATGGAAGTCACCTTATCCTTCGGCGTCACTGAGGAGGTTATACGTTTCCTCGAGTCTGTTGTTGAGACATATTATAAAGGACCGGAAACTCGCGATTCACTGGCAGAGATAACCAAAATAGCAGAGGTATTTTAATATTCGTTAGACCAATGAGTTCAATTATGCTTAAGACAGTAGAAGGTACATTAGGTGGATATTGGTCCATTCTGTTCCTTGATGATCCCTACGGATACGCATTCACCATCTACAGAAGGTATGAAAAGGCAACAAGTCAATCATAAATGCAAAATACTTCAGATCACCAAGTTATGTTGTACTCGACGTAAATGGTCAAGGAATTTCAATTGCGAAGGAACCTGTTTGAAAAAGATAAATTGAACTATTTATTTTGTACATTTGGAATAAAAGACAGCTATTCATTTTTTTGTTGAGCTTTTTCTTTCTGAATCTGACGACGTAGATACTCTCTAGCAATCTGCATAGACGGTAACTCAAAAAGCGGACCTTCAATGAAAAGAGTTAGGGAAATGAAAAAAAAAAAGAAATACTTTCAACTGCACTACCAGAGTTATCTGTTATCTCCTCGTTCTCTCCATAGACGTTCAATTTTCCACTTATGTTAACAACTCCTTCATCCTTCTCTTCGGATCTAACTGCAAAAGACAAGAAATGTATATATAGAAAACAAAATAAAAATATTACCTGTAATTATGAGGAAAGTGAAGAGAACAAATAAAGTGAAACGGAACATCAGATTGTGCTTTGAGGACAAAGAGCTAGAAGAAACTCCTTTTGTTCAGCTTCTGCTTTACAACAGTATAATTACAACTATAAGTTGTTATCTTCTTTCTGGTAAATAATAAAGTTTTAGGGAAAGATCTAGTGATGTAAAAACAGATTGATGATTACGTAAAAATGCCGAAAAAGAAAAATAAGATAAAAGAAAAATTGAGATGGAGTTGACTGTGAGATAAATCGTCGCATGCCATTGATGAGGTTGTCGACATTCACGTTGTAGTGAGAAACTGGCCCATATATAGGGGGCGGTTTTTGGACTAGATGAGACTAATATTCTGGTTGGGTTAAGGCTTATGCAAATTACATTTTCCACAACTATAATGCTGAGAATTGATGCCGAATCTGTTGCTGAACAACTGGTTTAACGTTTTCATCTGAATCCAGAACATATCGGACAGCTGACTGACCGGATGACAAGTCCTCCAATTTGCTCGAGAAAAGCTGCTGGCAAGTAAGCTGCCGTTACCTGCTATTTCCATAATTGGCTGGGTCTATGCAAATCATAACTGGATTTTTCCAGTCAATTATGCGAAAGAAAAGGGAAATCTACTGATTTTTTTCTCTGTCAGACAATTTTCAAATATCCATTTTATTCTCTTTCATATATTTAAATTAAATTATAAATAACAATTTCCAGAAAGACAAACTACATTAAGGAGCAGCATACCCGTTCTGGAGGCTTCAATCCAACATCATAAGAACGCAAAGAATTTCTTTTTAAGGCTTTTTGTATTTGGTTGAACCGACTTTGACCAGAACTGTTCTCAACATCCGATAAAGTCAAATCCTATATACAAAAAATAATTCAAGCTTAAGCTCTGATTCTATTACCTCACAAGCATCAAAGGCATTCACAGTAATGTTCATTCCTTCGAAACAGTCCTCTTCGAAACGATCATCATCTGAGCTGTACTTAAAAGGCAGAAAGTAGAAAAGATTGATTTTATGTTTCCCATACTTTTCGCACAATCTCCGTCCGAACCCCATCAGGGTGAAATGTGGCCATTTGAACGTTGGAAGAATCGATCTGAGGATATCCGTACTTCTGAAAAGACTTAGAATGAAATGTTTCTTAAGAAACTTGGTTACAGTCAACTGCGGACGGAACTGAAGAGTATCCCCATGGTTGACTGCGTTCAATTCAGAAGCCAACGTCTTCTCTGTTTTAGCATCACTTGTTGTTTTCCTCTCATTCAGTTTTCGCATGACAGTCGAAGTTGTCATTGGATTCTCTGTAAGAAAAGAGAGAGACGATTCAGTATTGATAAACACCTTTACCTGTCAACTTCTTATCCAGACTACGGATTTCAGAACTAGTAATTCCCTGGACATGCTGTTCGGCTATATCAAGCAAACATTTGGGAACGATTTCATAACCCGAAATAGGAAAAAAATAAGCATTTGGGGAAGAGAACTGTTTTTAAGGTTAAGGAGGAAGCAGAGGTTAGGTTCATATCAATACCTGAAGAAATCATTATGTCATTATTATTTTTCTTATCGCTGTTAGAGACGGCAGCTTCATAATCTATGGATCCAACAGCTGTGTTGTACTTAAATGATAAAATAGAAGGTAAAATCAGAATATCTTACTAAGTAATCATCCCACATCTGTAACTGATCTTCTGAGAGGTCTGGGCAGGATCCGCCAATTAGCTTTTCGTGCTGAAATCGAGATTTTACAAAGAAAATTGAGCTTTGGTTTATGATTTTTACAAATAATCTTACAGATTGTTCTTCTATTATTTGAGTTGGAACATTGGCAGAGTCTGGCTGCACATCCTTCTCTACCTCTGTCATTTCCGTTTCATGTGAGTTCTGAATAATAACTTTTAGTTGTTCTAACAACATCATTTCTTACCAATGAACTCAAGACAGAATTAGTGTGACGATTGCGTTTCCTTCTCTTCTTACGTAAAACGATGGCAGGGATGGGAGTTCCGAATCCAGCTGCAAATACGATCGATTCAATTTATCTGCACGACTATGATCAGGTGAAAACAGATTTAATTGTGAAAAGAACAAATTTGGTAAAAAGAAAGAAAAGAAAGTATTGTTTCTTCGCAAAGTTTACTAGAGTGAGGGGCACAAGAATGACAGGACTGACTATTACAGCAGACTAAACGAAGATAAGCTTGAAGTGTTCCAAAAAATGTCATTTTCAGATAAAAAAACTCAGACATTCAGTTTTTGCAGTTCAAAACAAAGAGAAATGATTGAAAAAATTGGGGAATCAATTCAGATTTTACTGACCGGAAACCATTGAGATGGTGGGTGAGTGTAAAGGCTAAATGGTTGAGGAGAAGCAGCAGGTGCCGCACAAGCTATTACATATAGTTGGAATGAAGATTTAATGACCTTTTCCATGAAATTTCTATTTTATATTAAATGAAAGAATTAATTGAGAAATAGATTTATAAGAGGGAATGTGATCAACAGTTTCGTTTCTGCCTCATCTTTTCATGCAGATGAATCAAGGCCATATTATGTCCCAGGTGTTAAGACACCTGAGCAACAGAAAGACCTTTCATTGAGTTATGATGGAAAGGATAGTGTGTAAGACGCATTTATCAAAATAGAATTGTAGAAAAACCTTGAATTGAAGTCAAATTAGCTGAATATCCTTGCGGAATGCCTGTTAATGTTGCTGACGGATGTGCCGTGAATGTTGGTAAGTTCTGCCCGCTCATGTTAGAAGCGGTTGAGGTGATGGGGTTCGGAACCATGCTAGGAAGTACTACAGCTGAAGAAGCTATGGATTGCAGTGCAGGTGGAAAAGCCATTTGATTAGCTGGAAAGTGAGCCAAAACTGAAAAGTAACAGTTATGAAGGGAGTATCCATTAAAGATGTGTGAGGATAGGATCATCTTAATATTAAAAGGGAATGTTTGTTAATGAATAGGGAGAGACCGTTAGAATATCCATGACAATCATCTGTTGTCAAAGCATTTGTGGAAGAGAATTGGGGTGGAAGATCAAAAGCCTCATTAAGACGAGATCTTGGAATGAATTCGGGAGCCTTCAGCCATTCTGTAATGATTTATTATGAATATCCCATATCATTATAATACCTTCAGGATCAATAGTTTTGAATGGAACTTTTTTTAAAGGAATATCATCAGATATATCATTATCATAGTAAGATGCTGGAGGTCGATCAGCTTCTTCAAAATATATTTTCTTGTTTTCCATTAAAATAATAAAATAAAAAACTCTGCAATAGAAGAGTGAATATTTAAAATGAAGATAATCAAAGGTCATCAATAGATGAAGACATAAAGATTATAATCTTATAGTATTATTATTATAGTTACGTTTCTACTACTCAATAGACAGCTTAAAGACAAATAAACGTCGTTCATCTACTTCAGCTAGCAGAGAAGAAAGTTTTGTTAGAACAAGTTGTTTAACGAGTCTTTACTCGTACAGCCTATCCTCAACAAATAATTTCAACTTAAGACTTTTTTATGAGCACAATTCTGTTTGGAAAACATTAATTTTGTGAGAAAAAATTCAAGAAAAATAGGGAAAAAAAAGAAAAATTCAATTAAAAGCATTTGCTCACTCCAAGTTACACTAAGTCAGCTGGGATGGACTTGCACAAGTCTCGCAAACTCGCTATCAAATGACGCTGTTAATAGCTAAATATTAATTTAATGTGAATGTAAAATATATTTTTGAAAGCATCGATCGTATGGCATGAACATGAAGCCATGAAAATCACAAAACATTGAGTCAAGTCATTTGTCCAAAAAGCCATTAAACTAATTTTAAAATCTACATGAAATGCGATAAGAAGCAGATGGTTAGATATCCTCTTCATCCATTACAATGAGCATTGCTGAATCTCCACAGTGTATGTATATATTAGAAGAAAGATCATTTGAAAAATAAGAAATGTTTTTTTTTTCATTTGATGATTTGGCTCTACTTTGAAAAGTTGATAGGTGATTGAGAAGAGAAAGATGGAAGAGGAAGCGTAATTCTGAGAAGATACGAGTGTCACCTGCTCTTCTAGTCTTTCGTAACTTTACTAATTCTCATAAGTTGTCATTTTCTAACTTTTCTTGTCAGAGTTTGATTCAAAGAAAAATATTTATATCAGTCCTCTTAGCAATAAATTATTGATATATTCCGTTGGTTTCACAGACAGCACCAGCTTCGACGCTTTGGCGATGGCTGCTGCTCTAGTCGTAGAGCTTCTTCTAGATGATCATCCTCTCTTTTTTGCAGTGATCTTGAACACAGCAATTAAAAAAGCAAGAAAAAACGATTACTAACACTGCCATTGCCTTCATACAATTCTCAATTCCATATCCGGTGAACGCACTTGTCTCAAAGAATGGCATTTGAAATTCCTATAGAAGATAAATAGACGTTGCTCCAATGATTAATCACCTGAGCCAATTTCTTTCCAGCTTGAAAAATTGTTTTCCGCGAATTATCATTACCAAACAGATCAACCTTGAAACATATATGAGAAACAAAGTAGGATATATAACAATGCTCAACAGGTTCAACCAGGCATCATAATGATTAGATGAAGTTGTAAGTGCTTATACATACAAGCCTAGTCACCCCGTTACAAATATTCGAACAACTCGAACCTTGTTGCCAACCAAACACATAACAGTATTTTCATCTACGCCCATTTTTACAGAATCGATCCAATTTCTAACATGGAGAAACGATTGCTCTGATGTAACGTCGAACATTAGAACAACACCATCAGCTTTCCGGAAATATTGCTTGGTGATGGATCGGAATCTGCAAAACTTATAAAGAATATTATCTGCGAAAAAGGTCAATTAAACCTTTCTTGCCCAGCTGTGTCCCATAATTGCAAGGTGATCAAACGGTCTTGAACAGCAATAGTTTTCACAGTGAAATCAACCCCAATAGTTGCATTGAACAGCGGCTTGAATCGATTATGACAAAACCTGAGAAATAATTAATTTAAGATCGCGGAAATCTTTTCTTCCTGATTTTTCATAAATAACTACCAAACTGAAATGTTTCATGGTTCTCGAAGATTAAAAAACAACACACAAATCAATTTGGTCACAGTCGCCTTGATAAAGGAAGTTGGTAAAGAAATTCTTCAAATGAAAAACTCTGACTGGAACCAGCGTCTCAGTGGTTCAAGTATAAATAGGATGATTTGAAATAGTCAAGCATCAGCTTTACAGCTTATTTCCTTATAATACTCTCATAGACATCCGA